ATATTGTAAGTACAACAAAATAGACTATTCTTGCCATTTAAAAACATCTAAATTAATTTTTGAAAATAATAACTTCAACTTGGGGGGTAGTATAAGTGTATAGATGACGTGTTGTGGAATTGTGCACCTGAAACCTGTATAATGTTAACCAGTGTCAACCCAATATACTCTCAATAAGAGGGGAAAAATAACTTCACCATTTTAGGTGGTAAGAATAAGTGTTTCTACCGATAGGTATCTTGAAGTTATCAAAAAGGAAATATAACAACCATGCCTTGGGGTAAAGCCCAAGTATTAATTTTCCTTTGTTTTAACAGAAGACAATGTTACTGGTGTTAAATACATTTATTGTAAACTTTGGACACAAAAATAGGTTCTCTAGGCCATTCACATGCACATTAAAACCAAAAAGCTGCAAAGCTACACAATGCATGTAACTATACAAATGATGCCACTCTTTGATGTTCACAGAATTGCTGTCCATGCAAGGTGATCAGAGGCATGATCTATGAAACCTAAGACCCAGAAGTGTTGTTACTACCAAACCTCTGATGAACACTGTGAAGTAAGTGTTTTGGAAGGCAGTTCCACGAGTTGGCTAACATTTCTTTAAAGCAAATGACTGCTTCTAAGCTTAGCCTGAAAGAATAAGGGAAGAGAAAAATAATTTCACTTTGCTGTTTAGAAGTACCCTCACTTGCTAAGCTATTAAAAAGAAAGAAACCATTTTCTTTAAAAATTTTCATAGGAACTGGTTAGTTGGATCCATAAAAACTTGTTAGTACCCTTTTAAATTATCCATAAACCTAGTTTTTCAAGAGCACTATTTTAAATATTCTAAAGTTCCAAATAAAAAGCTACTTACCTTACAAGAGATTTTGGTTGAACTGAAAATATGAGTACTTCATTACTGTGTGCCTGAAAAATATATAAGAACACATTAAAAAGCAAATACTTCACAAATAAGTTTCAGCAATATTATGAAGTCTCCTTTAACATAAGATAGTATACTTACCGCTCTGTGATGGACAAGAAGGTTATTGGCACAACCACCAAAAACAATTACTTCTCCTTCATCACTGGCACAAGCTGTATGCCATAATCTACATTCAAAACAAAAACTTGAGTTTGCAGTCACCCAAAACACCAAATTGATCATTTATACTAGAGAGACTGATGACATAAAGACTAGAGATCTTTAGTTCAGACCAAAACATCATGGAGTGAGAAGCAATTACCTGAAAGAAAAGTAGCCAAAGCTAGAAAAATCAATGTTTTATTTGGATGTCAGCATTTCCTCTTTGGTCCAAACCTCCTATGCAGTGAGGGGTTTGAACTGAAACTGTTCTCTAGATCTTCGTTAGCAATACAGATCTGTGTGGTATATGGCCTCTTCTGCTTTTCATAGGCAGGGCCAGTTGGCCTTACACAAAACATCTGAGGGATGCTGAATCTGCCTGAGGAAACAAAGCCTCTGAAGGCCTGATGATTCTATGGAAAGAATATTTGTGCCAAACGGAGTCTTAGTGGCCTGACTATACGGAGGTTAGAGGCTTAGGAAAAATGCAGGATGACATATCTTAATGTGCTTTGAACACCTAGTTTAACTATCATTTCCTTTCCAGTCTTTGTAACAGTTCTTTTTGAGGATAACAACAAAAATAACTGGGTGTTTAATGGGCTCTTCTTTTTCGATGGCTTGACTTCTTACTCTTTGTTATGCAGTGCCATTGAAAATCTAGCGGAAAGTTCTTGATTTTTTCCTATATACATTAATTAAGGTTTTGAAATTCTCTACTTTCCAGTTCCTTTTCTTTTTCTTTTTTTAATAGTAGCCTAGATGCAGTTCAGTTATCTTATGTAAAGAACTTGATTATAAATGTTAACTATATCAGTAATTTTATGATAAAGGAAAAAGTGAAAATCAAACTCCAGTCCTATCTTTCAGAGATGATGGAAAAGAAAGCATCTGATACTAGGATGGGTTTGTTGTTGTTGTTTTTTTTCTTTCAAAAGGCCTGATGTTAAACCTTAGTGAATGCTAGGGTATTTATTATTCTGTCTTGTACACCTTTATGGACCTCATTAATTTAGTGTAAGAATCACCTTTTTAAAAAAATATAGTTTTATTGATTTCAGAGAGGAAAGGAGCGGAAGAAAGAAAGAAATATCATTGATGAGAGAGAATCGTCGATTGGCTGCCTCCTGCATGCCCCACACTGGGGACTGAGCCTGCAAGAGAATTACCTTTTTAAATAGATCATACCTTGGTTTGTCAGTGTAGGGATGATTAAACTGTAGCCATTCATTTTTACTGATACAGTAAGTCCAGGCATCACCTGATTGAAACAAAAAAACAACAACTATGAAGTATGTTATTCTACCAATGTGATATTAATATTTAAAGGACACAGCTTTAGCAAGAAAGGTTATTAATCAGATTGTGATAGATAAGAGAAAGTATATTTCCTTTTATCCTCTGCAATAAACCAAGTAAGCCCTTGCATATTAGAATCCTTCAGCAGGGCCTTTAAGTATTCCAGGGCATTTCTTTACAGAAAACAATTAACAGGGTTATATTATAGGGTCAAAATTAATAGTAAACCTTCCAACTGACCCTGTAGCCTTAATACATCCAAATAGACTAATTTTTTCCAACTAAGTATATATGATGAATGACAGTTTATCACTTTTTTTTAAAGAAAAGTTGAGAGAGGTGGTTTTAAATTGATTTCAGAGAGAGGAAGGGAGAGGGAGAGAGAGAGAGAAACATCAATGATGAGAATCATTGATTGGCTGCCTCCTGCATGCCCCCTACTGGGCCTCAAGCAACCCGGGCATGTGCCCTTGACCAGAATTGAACCTGGGACCCTTCAGTCCACAGGCTCTGTCCACTGAGCCAAACTGGCTAGGCCAGGGCTCATATTTTTAAAGACTTACTTAGTGGCTGTTTGTCAGTGGTAAATCCTCCAAAGAGAAAGAGATGATCTGAAGAAACTGGTGTCAGCGAGTGCCAAGATCGGCCAGCTGGGCACAGGCCTTGTGGAATTCTGAAAATAATAGCTAAGTTATAATACTGACTTCTAAAAGTAAAGAAATATTGAAGTTATATGGAATTAAAGAAAAAAGAGACTTTAAATTTAAAAACGCTTTTTGGTATTAACTGCATACTTTAGAATGAACTATTTTCTTTGACGGTCAACTTTAGACCTTTTCTTTTCAACAAACATTGAGCACATACTATATGCCAGGCACATAGTTAATGGGAACTGGAAATAAAGAAAATTTAAGCAAGTACATTTTATACTAATAATAGAGAAAAGGGAAAAAAGCCATTGAAATTTTTTGTAAAACTTTTCTAAATAATTATCTAACATAATACCTACAATTCATTCCACTCCCATGTATCCAGATTAAGATAGTGAAGATCATTCATCCTAGCATCCTAAAAAAGGATAATTAAATAGTTAACCATTCTGAATAATTCAAAGCAAGTCATTGAAACTGTTTATATACTCACCCGATATCTGCCTCCAAACACAAAGCCCTTGTTTCCAACTGTTGCACAGGCATGGGCAGCACGAGGTGAAGGTGCTTTACCCTATTAAAGTTAATAAGCAATTTATTAAGTAAGGGAATGTTTTATAAATACCAGAGTCTTCAGTATATGAAGATACTCATATGATAATGGTGCTGTGTTAAGTGCTTTGATGTATTAATTCATTTAATCCTCATATGTTCTACAGTTACAACGGTTTGGGCTGAGGATACTTGAATGACAAACCACTTTCCACATAAGAATATGCAGACACTTGAGCTTTCAAGCTGAAGTGTAGACTTCTAGTCAATAGCAGTACTAAAGCAAACTAATAAAACTGGGACTTTTAATTTTACATTTTTGAGGTGTATTACTAAATAAACAGAATGCTTGTTTTATTTTGATCTGAAAGCTAGCACATTATATAACATCTGTAATCAGAGGAGAAAGAAACTGATATTTGAGTAACTTAAGTTCCAATATAGTGCTAGGTCATTTATTTAATTACAAACAGTAGCACTCAATATCTATTAGATAATAGATGCTGGGCTGGTCTACACATTCATTAAACTTTTCTGAGTTCTAGAGTGCTTGGAGAATTATAAAAGCTATGGCCCTTCTCCAGAAAACAAGAAGAATGAACTATCAATCTTAATACCACCTCCCAGCTTCCTTTCTCTAATAGTCATGCTTTAATAATCCATTAGTCTTTAGTAACTCACAGTAGTTATAGGCTGACTCCAGATAAATGTTTCAGTGTCTAAAATATGTACATGATCATTCCATCCTCTTGGGTGACTTGAATTCTACAGAAAATAGTAAGAATCTGAGTTATTTTGCAATTATTTTACAAAGAGTGTTTGCAAAATTATATAGCCTTGATCTGATTTATTAATTATTAACAAAATGAACAAAACTACTACCAAACAAACTGTATTATTTCAACATACTAAGCAGGCCATATGCAAATATGAAACTTCACTTACCCAAAAAGATGTTTCATCAAATTCAAAAGTTCCCAATACTTTATCTTCAGGTAAATATCCATACCCTCCAAAAAATATTAACCTATTATATTAAAACAAAAACATAAGCCACTAAAAATTCAGATACGCAAGTTAGTATATAAGAGATTTTTCTTTGTTATATGAGTTGCAAAGGCACAGTTGAGTATATGAAAATATTCATAATAATGCCTATATGTCTCAGTGCTATGTTAAGTGCTTTGATGTATTAATTCACTTAATCCTCATACATTCTATAATTTCAAAGGTTATTGGCTAAAGATACTTGAAGGCAAACCACTTTCCACATAAAACCCCAAACCTTAGTGCTGCTGCTAACTCACCTGTTTTTATATACCCAGACACCAAGTTTATCCTTTGATGACGGAGGAATTCCTTGGCAATCAATTCTTTCCCACTGTAATACTCTGTCTGTAGACCTTAAATCCAGCATGTAGAACTGTCAAAAACAATGGTTTCTGTTAGATCTGGTTTTGTGTAAGAAATTCAACCTTGGTATTTAACTTTGCTGTGATTTATAATAATAAGAATATCATCTAATTCAATACTACCTATGTGTCTACAAACTGTTCTTGAGTCTAGATAAGGAACTTGTGCCAGAATATAAGTTACCCAAGTCACTAAGCATCCTGTTTATTAGTTCAGCTAATTTTTTTTTTTTCCACAGCCACACTTTTTTGGTGAGGGAATAGAAGTATATTGGTTTACATTCTGGGCTTAGATAGGCACTTAGAGTTTCCTGATCTAATTTATGGGTATCAGGATGGTATAACCAAAAAAAAAAAAAATCAGACTCAGCAATTGCACTCCAAATTCAACTTAACAAACATGTCCTATGTGCCTACTTAACTCTAGGAGCTAAGGACAAATCTTAAAAGATTAAACATTGGTCTATCTTTAAGGGTTCACATCCAGGTGCTTGAATATATATATATATTTTTAATTATTATTATTTTTTTTTACTTAAGACACCCAAGCCACTTGATATATTATGACTACAATTTCTCTGAAAGCCACAGCTCTCTTTCTCAAGCTTCCTCATGTTGTGCAAAATTATTTTTCTCCTTCTTAGCCCTGAAAAATACATGGTTCAAATACAGCCTATAGCTATGCTTCAGAACCCTTTCTTTAAACAAAATCTTTAAGTAAAAGCCTAAAATATAAAAACTAAAATGGTGCTACACTTGTTAAAATGGTAGCGGAAGGGGTGGTCTGGAGCCACCTAACACCATTATGCTCCTCTCACAGGTGCCCTGGAATTCCTAGGAGCAGTTTGAAACCATCTCAGCCATATGCTCCATCTACATTGGACCATTTGACATTTCCATGAACAACATATTTGTTTACACTTCTGCATCTTGACACCTATATCTTGCCTCCCCCTTTGAACTGTATTATTCAAGAATCACCTTCCTACCAAACACAATGTCAAGGAGTCTTTTTCAGATTCAAAAATATTTACTGAACTATTACCATAGCCAGGCTCTGTGTATCTCTGTACCATATGCTACTGAAATCATTTACTTGTTATATGTGTCCCTTTTAGAATGAGCTCCAGGAGGCACAGACTCATTCATCTGAGTCTCCAATGTCTAACCAAGTGCTCAGCATACAAGGTGCCCAAGAAGTTGCCAAATAAATGAATTTTTAGTCTACCTAGATCATATGCACCTTTCTGACTGACTTCATCTGTCTCTCCTGGCCTGAGAGAACAACTGATCATCTTTTTCCTATTTGGGTAAAGCATGAACAAAGTCTGAATGACAATATCTCATGGTGCCAGATCATAGAAATGTTAGTAGATACAATTTTGTCAGTGTTAATTTATCCTTATGGCTTTCTGAGTGGTGGCCTGTTAATTTTTACCCTGCCCCCCATGATTACCTCATTTTCATCTAATTTACTGTTATTCATCTAACACTCCAGGTTGCTAAAAGAACAAGTAGCTGCAAAGAACACAAAGAACACAAAGAAAAACAACATAGGAAGTTACTGCACACAGGTTACCAACCAAGTTGATTTTATAAAAGGCCTAGGTAAATACAAACCGGTAGACAAAATACTGAAATGCACATTCATACCATAATCAAGTAACATATTTTTTAACTGGGACAGGAATAGCTATGGGTAACCATAGAAGTCTCAAGTTGTCTAAAGAAAGAATAAAACTGCCTTGAACCGTAACCCTTAGAACACTAACCTTATTCGTATTGCCTCGTGAGTGGTGTCCTCCGAACAAGTACAGCATCCTGTCTACACACACGGCACAGCTTCCTGACATGGAAGGAGGAACATCACCTTCAGTGTTCATTTTTTTCCTGAGAGGAAAGCAATATAAATAAGCCTCCCACAAGGGAAATGCAAAAATATTTTTATTTTTCTTCTATTTCCACAATAAAGGGGGGAAAAATAAAATGAACGGGTTGACTAGATCATGTCCAGGGTCTCATCTAGCTCTAAAACTAATTCAAAGAATGAGCTCTTTCCTCTTCATCCCACAGGCTTTGCCAGCCCTGCACAGAGGCCGAATGAGAGCTTCTAAAAGCTACAGTGTCACATGACTCCAGGAGCGCACCATTTTATGGTTTTTAAACTAAATTGTTTGCTTTCTATTTACATGGCCAGAAAGTGGTTGTTTTGGTTTTTGTTCTTGACTGGGCCAGGAAAACGACGTCCCAGTCCTGACAGATTAATTCAGTAGGTGTTTTTATTTGGTCACCGTTAGCCATTCAAATGAATCTGATTCAGATCGTATGTAATACTACAGACACTTATGTAGTACTTACTATAGGTCAGGCACTGCTCTCAGTGCTTTGCATATTTTGACACATTCTGAATCTAAAAATAAAGCTGAATCAAAACTAATTAAGAAATAGAAGATTCAGAATATTAATAGGTCACTCAAGGTCTTCTCACAATATCACTTTATAATAAGGTTTTAAGTTTTAATAGGCTTATTTTTTTAAATTATGGGGCTGATTTATTATTTTTATTTATTCATTCATTTTTCATTCCTCACGCAAGAATATTTTTCCATTGCTTTTTTAGAGAACGGGAAAGACAGATAGAAATACATCCATTGGTTGCCTCCTATATGAGCCCACCAGGGCCCAGCCCGGGGAAGAGCCTGCAGCTGAGGTACATGCCCTTGACTGGAATAGAACCTGGGACCCTTGAGTCCCCAGGCAGAGGCTCTATCCCTGAGCCAAACCAGCTAGGGCTATGGGGCTGATTTTTAAAAATATGTAGAATTCCATATTACAGGGATACTATTACACATTTCCAATTATCTAGAAAAAGATTGGCAAACAGCTCAGAAAACACCGATTAACTATGTACAGAAGAATCTTAACATGCTTAGTTTAACTGTTAAATCAAGTGGGAGTACTATTCCAGTTCTGAGATCTATAATATGTAATATATATAAAGCACAAAGTTCTCACAGTGCAAACCACGGGGGAAGCCTACTTCATAAATCCTCAAACACGACTAACCCAGCCTTTTGAGAATCGCGTTAATCCTGCCACGGACATACTCTTGAGTCCCACTGCTGAGACTAGCAAAAGACCCTTTCACCATATCCCCACGGAAGGCAAATTTACGTTAGTTCTGTTTTTTAAACAAAACATACTATTTTATGGAAATTTTAATGTTAAAACTCATTAAAATACCACCTTTATTTCTAGTATATACAATCTATAATTTTTTTGCATTCAAGATGCCACATAACAAAAGACATAACGTCTTGAAAAAATACATATGTGGAACTTTTATTATATTTCCATTCCAGGATCTGAAGCCTCTACCTCTATTTTAATAATACTATGATACTTTATAGAGTCCTGAAGAGAAATTTCTCCAAGGATCATAAAAATATCTAGTAATTACTGATATTTCTGAAGAGACGCTAAAGAGTAAGCTTAGCAGTTAGGCCAAACTAGCACAATACTGTTTTCAGAACATATAGCTTAGCATCTTTAACTAAAATGTTTTTATTGATTAGAATGGGCTCTACAGAGTTTCTTTTTGTTTGCAACAGTATTTGAATGTATTAGTCCCTCTTATAAATCCAATTACCATCTTCCAGTCTCCATGTTGTAGATCCATAGTTCTTCTCTAGGCAGATAAAAGTCATATAATCCTCTGACTTGGTTACTCTAAGAACCAAAAAGAGAAAATTGAAAATATAAAAATAATTGGTATTCTAGAGGCACTATTGTATGTTTTTTCATATCTAATTTGAGATACTGAGAATTATGAAAAATTAAATATGTCCAACAAATCCATCAAATGCACAGTCCTCCCCACCCCATGCCACATACTCAAAGTAATGCTTATTATAGACAGCTCTTATTTCCAATTTTTGAGAGAACAGTTATAACGGTGTAGGTGCTGTGGTGCAGGAAGGTAAGAGATCAGGAAATCTCCAAGGCCACTTGATCCTGAACAGACCGTGCACCAAATGTCATTGCATGGCTTCAGGAGAGAGTATCCCTGTGCCGTGGTCAGCAGACTAAAGGAAGGTCTACCTTTAACTCTTCACCCACACTGGCACGTGATGTATATAGTTTTCTAGCCATTGTTTCCTTTGACCCATGCATTCTCTACCAAAATGCAGAGAGGGCAGCACTGCAAATATGCAAATATTAAGTCCTTATGCAATATTTTAAGTTCCTTGTTCTCCATTTCCTTCAGGTAATAATTTTTAACAGACTGTGCGTACCATATGCTCTTAGAACTAGCTGAGAGCTACCCATGGATTGCTTTATTTAACCCTCACAACCACCCTTAAACGTAGTTGGTATTTCAAGAAAACAGGTTTTTTAGAGAGGTGATTTGCCGAAGGTACTTGGCAAGTAATGGTAGAACCAGGATTTCAGCCTTCTTTCCCTGAAGTTGCAACTTCAACTGCTATCTGACCTCTCCAGCCTTTGAGCCTCACTGGCCACTTTCTGAACAATGTCAACATACAGTCAACAATTGCAGTTCACTGAGAATGGGTGTCAGAGTCCAATAAGCTTGAGTATTATACAGGAACAGAGCACCCGGCCGCCATGTGAACTTTTTGCTTTTCACTCCACCCCTTGCAAAGGGAAAGGCTAGAAGACAGGAGGCTGACCCTGAGGAGATGAGCCTGGCCTGGAGAGGGCAACTGACTACTGTGTGAGAAGCAAGGGTTTATTGCCTTCAAACAACCTGCAAGAGCTTCCTGAGCCTACTCTCAGGTTCTGGCCAGTATATGGATAGCCTGTTTCTAACACCCACCTGGTTCACCAATACGCCTCAACCTTGCCTCAGCCCTCAGCAGCCAAGACCTCAAAAACAGCACCAGAAATATTCTACCCTGACTACCCCACCCCTCCCCATGCCCAAAGAAAGCCCCATTCCCTCAATGCTGAATTTTACAGACAGAATTTTGAATAAAGTAGTTTAGACTGAAATATGACCGACAGGTTTACTTTTCTCCTTGGGAGTTACTTACATTTCAGTAAGGGTCCCACATACCTACCCCCCTTCCTCTTAACACGTACCCTCTAAGCACCTACTCATCGAGGCTGAGGAAAACACAAATTAGACTGGCAAAAAGAAAATGCTTTTGTTGTTAAACTACATGAAATAATCAGGGCTGCCACCGCACTCTATCCCATCTACCCTCTGAGTCATCTCACAAGCTGTCAACTGTGATCAGATCAACTACCAAGAACTGAAATTTACTGCCAGAGTCACAAAACAAGTCATCAGAGGAACAGGTGTAGTGGCCTAGATTTCAAACCGATGGGGGAGGGAGGAGATAATGTTTTCCCCAGTATGTTTTCATTGATTTTTAGAGGAAGGAAGGGAGAGAGAAATATCCTTGTGAGAGAGACATGGGTTGGTTGTCTCCCATACACACCCCATCCAGGTACCGAACCTGAAGCCTGGGCATGTGCCATGACCTGGAATGGAACCAGCGACCTTTCAGTGCAGGAGAGGATGCCCAACCGAGCCACACGCGCCAGGACTAAGGCGAAAAGGGGCTAAAAAGAATGGCTTTGGTAGGAATGCATCATAGCCAACTGGACAGATGACACAATTCTAGAAGGTGGAGTGTTATTGGGAAGTTCTTAAGAGCGAGAGAGAACTAGTGGGCAAGGGTTAACGTGGGGAGGAGTCCCCTGGCAGAGGGAGAGAAGAAATGCAACTGGCAACTAAGTACATTGTTTACATTAGGGTCAAGGAGCTGCTGATACTGTTGGTTACTGGTGGAGCGTTTCCATTAATTTTCGTAACAGATGTTTCTTCCGACAAATTCCAGCCCTGCCTCAGCGGGAACCAGCCCTACAATGTTCCCACCGCAGAGCGACGGCCACCCGCACAGGTGGCAGGACCGGGCGGGCGGGCAGTGCGGGGCGACGGCTCCTGCGGCCTCGCGCTCCGGGGGCGGGGGGCGGGGGGGTCGCCTACACCCCAGCCGCCCCGGGAGTGGCCAACGGGGCCGGTGGGCCCAAGACCTCGGTGCCGCACGCCGCCACCTCTTACACACACCCCGGCTTTTAAATAAAAACACGGTTAGTTACCAGGCGCCGCCCACCCTGCCCTCGCCCCACACAACGCTCCGCCGCGAGCAGCGGGGAGGGTGCGGGCGGGAGGGCGGCGTGACAACAGCCCGGGAGCCTTGGGACGGGCCCGGGGTTCGAGAGAAGGTTCCCACACGCAGGGGGACAAGGGGGAAACCAGGGGTCAGTCGGGGCGCGGTGCCGGCCGCGCTGGTCCGCCCGCCGGGCCCCAGCCCCGGTCACCCCGAGCGCCGCCGCGGCCGGGCCCACTGACCTTGTAGCCGCCCCAGACGAACATGTGGCGCCCGTCGCCCACCGCTACGTGGCCGCTGCGCTCGGCGGGGCAGGCGAGCTCCGCGGCCTCGCAGCTCTCGTAGGCCGGGCCCGGCAAGTCGTCCCGCGGATCGTCGTTGCCATCAGCCATCTTGAGGCTGCACTTCTGTCCGCTAACAGTCCCCACCGCGGCGAGCGGGGAACAGACAAAGGAAACGGGAGAAAGAAACGAGCCGCGGCGAAAGGGACGGCGTTGAGGCCGCCCCTCGCCGCCCGCGCTCCGTCCGGCCGGCCCCTCGGAGGACGGCCCCTCGGAGGGGGTCGCGGGCGGGCGGGGCGGCGGGAGGGGCGCGCCCAGGGCCGGTGCCGCCTCCGGCCGTGCGCCCGCCCCCGCCCCGCCTCCGCCGCGCCTCCGAACCCGGGTTGACGCCGCGGCCGGAACCGCCCGATCCGCGGAGGCCGCCGCCGGGCTCGGGCAGCGCTGCCCACGCTCAGCGCCCCCAGCGCCCGGTCCGCCTGCCGCCGAGCTCGCGCCTCCGCCCCGGCCCCGGCCCCGGCCCCGAGCTGTGCCAGGGCTTCCGCGCGCGCCGAGCCGCCTCCCACGGCGGGCGCTGCAAGGCTGCGCTGCACTCAGCCAGGGTTCCCCAAAGACTTTCTTCCCCAGAAATTCCCTCAACGGGTGCGCAGCCTGCACGGGGCAGTGAAATTGCCCCGCTGGCATCTCCTGGTCTCAGCCTCTCCAAGGGACCCATGCCCGGCTGCCATGTGGACACGAGGAGACGCGCCTCGCCCTTTCTGTGCCACACGCCACCCACGCTCTTCTGGTTCAACAGAGACCTTTTTAAAAATATACATATTTTTATTGATTTCAGAGAGGGAGAGAGAGAAACATCAATGATGAGAATCATTGATTGGTTGCCTTCTGCACGCCCCACACTGGGCATGGAGCCCGGAACCGGGCATGCGCCCTGACCAGAATGGAACCCGGGACCCTCAAGTCCACAGGCCCAAGCTCTATCCACAAGCCAAACTGGCTAGGGCTTCAGCAGAGATCTTGATTTAGTTTGGAAAATCACTCGAAAGCGTTTCAAAACCCACCACTGCTCAGTCATTCAGGCGAATCATGATCACACACACTGACACGGTTTTCTCTTACATTTCAATTAGGTCAAGAGCAAGTTCAGAATTATCATCTAAACTTGATTCCTCTCCTGTAAAACAGGACGGGACTAGAATACACCTAAATCCCTTATCTAATGGCGCCTCTGTATTTGGATGAGTTTGGTGAGGGGAGCGTGCTGGATTATCATCTCTTCCCATCTAAACGCTGCAATCACTTTTTAGAAGGAATACTTTGTACAACCAAGGGCTTAACTTTTCATAGCCTGAAACTCCTTCCCTCCCCACTGCCTGTCTGTTACAACTTAGCAGAATCTGTGATAACAGTGCTTAGAGGTAAATATATAGGGTGTCCCCCAAAAATGTACTGGTATACACACTTTGAATAAGTACTAATTGCAGGAGGCCACCCATTGTCTTCACTAGCAGAGAAGTGCAAACAAGGATCCTGGAATGCTGGTGAACCTTGAACCCATGGCAAGGGCCTGAGTTATGCACCGATTGTCTAGTCCTGACAATGGGGGCTCAAGCTATTTCCTGATTAAATAGTCTCAGAGTAAATCTTTCGAATATTTACTGACCTTTAAGATAGCCTGTCTGTTACTGCAATTACCTGCCTAAGGGTTTTATGTTTAACCAAAGTTGAATAAAAGGCTGGCGAGGCCTGGGCACTGGTGGAAGTCCTTCCCCTTGAGTTGGACTTGCCCGCCTGGCCCCCCAATATTTCCAAATTATCTCTTGTCTCTTCTCTTTCATTTGTGTGCGTCTCCTCTTCCAGATCCTGAACCCTGAACCACATGGGACATGGGGAAACAAATTAATTCCAATGTTTCTTTCTTTGAAAATTCCAATAGAATGACATAAATACCATGGAAAAAACAGGCACCAAAAAAGGTGCACAGGGGGCATTATTTGTTTCTTAAAATTGCTTTTTTTCCTTCAAAAATATTCTGAAATCAAAATTTTAAGTTGTCACTATATACTACCCTGAAAAGTATGCTTAGTGCGTTGATTTCCTTTCTCACACACATACATATAAATAACGTATTGATGAGAACCGCTTTGTGTCTGTGCTGACAGCATGAAGTTCTAAAGAATATTTTAGGCTTCTATCAAAAGGTTAATTTTTAAAAATGTTTGTGCAAAAAATACTATTTTGAAAAAATGTACACTAGTTTTGGTGTGCTATTTGCTGTATCATACTCAAAGTGATAATACTAAAAAAGAACACTTCTTGACAACTGGAAGAATATCCTGCGAGACATCATAAAGATGGCCAGAAATTCTTCTTCCTTGAGAACCGGACTGGAGACCTATTTTATGAACCATCTGAACAAAACCTTCAAGAATCATCTTTCTTTCTTCTTCTTCTTCTTTTTTTTTTTTGTTAGAACAACTCAGCAAAATAAAATTCCCGTTTATTGTTGGACAACATTGTTTCACACACTCATCAAACAGGCCAAAAATAAATAAATAAACAGCAAATTCATAGACAAAAAAAAAGGGGGGGAAAAAGAAACCTTTTTATCTTTGGCCTTTTTTAACCATCTTATACAAACCAACTATTTATAGTACAGATAAGCACATACACAAAGTTACTGGAATGTTCAGAATAAGATTGTTTTTGCTTTTTTTTACAAGGTTTATTTCTCCTTTGAGATTATAATGAACATGGTCACACCATAAGTAAAGTCAGAAGTAGGACAGAGAACACTCCAAAGGCTGGTGTGGTCATCCCAAAATCATTAAAAATGGCTGACCCCTAACAATATGTACAAAAAATATAAAATGTAAATAAAAATACAGACAAATTTTTCTTTTTAAAGTACTTTTAAGAAAAAAGGCAGGGCCTTGGACGTTTTGGTTCTTTTCTCCTCCCCTGTTGCAAATTCACGTTGTGGTTTTGGTTGGATGGTGGACAGTGGGTGTCATCTGCAGGTGCTGCTGCCCCAGGTGGGTGGGGGGACAGGCGGGTGAGAGTCTCTTCTCGAAGTTGACCACGTTTAGATTCTGAGAGGGGAAGTGGAAGGTGAATAGGTCACAGAGGCCTTTAACTTTTCCCTTTTTTGTTGTTAGTCATCCTCATCGGTCTTCTGCTTCTTGGTGTCAACATCGTCATCCTCATCATCTTCAGCTGCCCGTTTGCCTGTAGCTGCCTCAGCCTCCTCACCTTCATCTCCATCCTCTTCTCACCATCACCTTCTTCTTTCTCCTCCTCCGCCCCCCTCCTCCTTCCTCTTCATCTACCTCATTGTCAGCCTCCTGCTCCCCATTTTCCTCATCCTCAGCCTTCCCATTCGCAGGTGCATCGCTTCCATTCTCTGCCTCCTCCACAACTTCCTTCTTCTCCTTTAAGTCCTTGATGGTGATCTCCGAGCTGGTGTCCACGGGCGTGTCTGACATGGTGGGCATTTTTTTTTTTAAAAAAAGCGAGAGTTGGAGGACTCTGGCGAAGAAGCTGCAGTGAAGGAGGCGCACAGCGGAGGTGGTTGCAGTGAGCAAACCATTTCTATGTTACAGAATTTACCAGGCGACCAGAAAATACAAAGGAGTACCCAGAGATACAGGAGAAACCCATTTATTTTCAGATGTTTCGCATGTACTAGTATAGTGACTCGGGGAGACTGTTTCTCTCCAAATCCTGAGCAAACCAATATGGAGGAAGCTGTCCCTTTATACCCTCTGGTTTCTCTGTCCCCCAAATATGGATGGGACTTCCGGACCTTTCACAGGCTTTGCAAAAAGCCCCGTGTGTTGGAATGGGGGCAGCGAGACCACACCTTAAAGGCCTGGCCTGGTGCCAGTGCTGATAACCCCCTCAGGGGGTTGTGTATTGTTCATGGTTTATGGCCTCTGTAAAATGGGAGCACTTAGGTAAACAGGTCTTGTAAGAGCAGATTGTGGAGAAAGGGGCAGTGGCTTCATTACAGGCTATCAAGAATGGGCATTAGGTTACTGGTGCAGATTCAGACTGCTGGCCTCCCAAAAATGTCTTCTTTTCCCGTCGTTTGGTGGAGCGGACAGGGAGCCACAGGAACATGCAAAGATGGCTTTTCAGAGCAGCCAGTGGGCTAGAATCATCTTTCAAACGGAAAGTCCACAGGGAGAGTTCAGAGCTAATGTTATGAAGCTGAAGCTGAAGCCTTGGGCTCCTATATACTGTGGAGGTCAACAACACAAAAGTTGACAGTAAACCATCAGCTGTTGAAAAGTGAGGAATGAATACTGCTTGGCTATCACACTTCAAAACTGGCTTTGCAAGCTCCCAGACCCTCTCTATCTCCGAATAGCAGGAGGGCCCTGTTTTAAGCCAAGTTATAGAGACAAGTTAAAGATCAGAATTCCCTGTCACTCTCACTATGGGACTATCTCAAGACTTATAATTTTTGAAGTACTACAGTATATTAGATCAAATAAGTATAGCACTAGTTATGTGTGCCATAGATAATATATAGATTTTCATTCTCTTGAAGCCTACATGTTGGTGTGCATTTGAGGGGCTAATCCAGCTTTTAATGCTCTAAGTAAACCATTTAAAACCGGAAGTGCTTTTCTAAGAGGCTAGAGAAGGCATTCGTATACTAGTAACCCAGAAGCTATATTAAAAAGTATTCATCCCGCTCAGTGTCATCTACCACTATCCAATAGGTTTTGATATTTTCCCTTTAAATGTGAAAGGCTGACACTGAAACTCACTGTAATAAAATACTTGTAAGCTGTACATTGCCTGTGCGATTCATTTTCTAAATTTTATTTAGTCTAAAAATAGTAAGAAAAAATGAAAACTTACACTGAAATATTGTTTGTACAATCAACTCTAATGACTGGTTCACATGAACAAAACTGGAAAAATAGTAAATCTACATAGTTCATATAATAAATAAAATGTAAACACACACTATCTCAATACATAAATAGAAGTTTTACACATCAAAATACAATATATATAAAATATATCTCTAAAATTTAATGAGGTACTATAAATGACTATAATTTTCATTATAAATTACATATATATTTCAATAGAGAAATATATTTGCTCTAACATTTTGAATTTCAGAAATAACTTGTATGGTGGTATTGTGGAGAGTAATTTTATAACCAAGCCTTTGAGTAATACATCGTTATTAGTAATTCACTGGAAGGGTGTGCTGTAATAATATGAACAATTTCTTAATTACGGCAAAAGTACTCTTAAGGAATATAAGTTATAGTGTTTTATTTCTGTATAAGCAGTTAATACTGAAAATGAATGGGAAGATAACATATTTTCAATATCCTTAAGCACCAACTTTGTAGAATGGTGTGGACCAAATTGAGGGGTTTCAATAAAGGCAACTTACTAGATTACCATTCCATTTCATTATTTATAAAAATCACTTTAGATGCACTCTTCCAAGGCAAACTATATTTTAATGTGCCTCAAAACTTAATAATTATACTGCTTCTCAATATTTCAGAGCCTGGATGACAAATAAACCTCCACTTTAGGCACTTTAAAATATGGTCTTTGTACATATAAAATTGGACAAACTAATAACTTAGGGGTAACAGGAAGCAATTGAATGCATTTATTCCCCTACTCAAATAAAGGTTTGAAGAAAACTTATGACAAGAAAAAGGAAAAGTACAATGATGCTTAAGAATTCTTTACTAGATAAGTGCTAAAAGGGTGGGGGTTCCACATTTAACACCATACCAATAAGAAGATTTAGGTAATTTTATAGTGACTTGAGAGAATCTATTCTATCTAAAAGTTGATATATAGTGTTTTTATGTATCATTATATTGAGGGATTTCTAAAGTCCTTGGGTAATTTCTTATTCTCCTCAAATTTGTATAATCTTTCCAGCAATGAGTACACAGTGAGTTAAAATTGCCTACAATTGTAATTACTTTCAGAAAGCTTATTTTTTTTCTGTAGCTTATAAGGAAATTATTTTAGAAATATAAATTAATCTGCCATTAACATCTCATTCCCATATATCCCATTCCATGTAATTACTTTAACATAACATTTTTGCTTCAATTTTATCTTCTAAATAAAGCCTCCAATTTGGGGAGTAAATATACAGTCTGATTAAAATGTTAAACATATTAAACATATAAAGTACATAACAACTTAATTGTTACTGAGCCACTGATACTTATTTTCTGTTTCTTCTTTTTGAGCTCTTTGTTCTTCTCGGTGGTTAGCTGCAGCCCAAAATGTGATTTTTTTGAGTACTTGTTGAAGAAGTTTAGGAGGTAATAAAGATATCTGACTTTCTAAAATTATAGCATTTTTACCAATGCAGTCAAGGCATGACCTGCAAACAAAACATAATGGAATTATTCATTTTTAAAGTTATAATATAAAAAATATATAGGTAAGCTTCTTAAAAATAAAAGTCATTTAAAATCTATATATAAAAGCATAATATGCAAATTGACCAGACGGCAGAATGACCACTCGCTATGATGCACAATGACCGGCAGGGGGCAGGTGCTCAATGCAGGAGCTGCCCCCAGCCCACAGGCCCTGATAGCCTGATTGCAGGGGGGCAGGGGTGGGGTCTGCCGGCCAACCTCTTGGTCCCTCCCCCCGGCTAACAGGCTCCAATTGCCCAATGGGGAATGGGGAACTGGGGGTGGGTTGCGGCGCACGCAGGTGGCCTCAGGCCAAGGTGGGTGTGAGTGAGCAGGGCCCCGATCACCCTGCCAGTCACCCCATACACAGAGGGCGACCGGCTCAGTGGCGGGGGAGTGGGGCCAGCTGCCGGCAGCTGGGGAAGATCGGCCCTGACTGCAGGCTAGGCCTAGGAACTCTACCCCTGCATGAATTTCGTGCACCGGGCCTCTAGTTTTTTGCATAATAATGTATTTCCTTTGTATTGTTTGGAACATGATAGGACATATATTCTTTGTAGAGCACCACAATAATTGAACATTTTTACAGCGTAGACACTGTTCTGACCAAATCCAATGGGAACAGAAATTACAACTTACCATGCATGATGTTCTTTAAGTAAAAAAAGGTTCAGACTTAATTTCAAAGCAGGTCAGTCTCTAGCAGACCCTTGTCACTTATCCTTACAGCCCGATACCCATTTACTCTTCTCTGAGAACTTTTTCTTCCATCTCCTAGATCAGTGATGGTGAACCTATGACACGCGTGTCAGAGGTGACACGCGAACTCATTTTTTTGGTTGATTTTTCTTTGTTAAATGGCATTTAAATATATAAAATAAATATCAAAAATATAAGTCTTTGTTTTACTATGGTTGCAAATATCAAAAAATGTCTATATGTGACACGGCACCAGAGTTAAGTTAGGGTTTTTCAAAATGCTGACACGCCGAGCTCAAAAGGTTCGCCATCACTGGCCTAGATGAAGCATCTGGCATCCATTTTTACATGGTGTGACCGGGTCCTCCTCAGACTCCCTCTATCAGTGTTGACTTAAGTTGACCCAGAGAGAGCAGGTGTGAAGAGAGGAATGGAGCCAAGAGACTACCAGAGAGAGGTTCTGCCCATCTGGGGGCCGAGTGTTCATGTTTCCCCTTTCATTCCACTAGAGGGCAGTATCCTTTCAAATACAATTCCATTTTACTCTATAAAGTACACTGAAGGGGGTTTTGTACTTTAAAACCAAAAGAAACCTGATTAAGATAAGAACCATCAAAAATGCATCTATTTCAACTGGTAAACTTTAATTTTAAAAGGTAAATATTTTATGAAAGTTTTAAAAATAGACTCAATGGATTCTGCTGTGGTTAATCTGTTGTCATTTTTATAAGGATTTACACTGTACAGATTTATATCTTCTTCCAAACTCTCATGAAGCCTTTTCTCTAGACTTTGTGAAAATGCTCAATAAAAAGAGTGAAATGAGAAATAACATTTATTACAGAGGAAGCATGTCCTACTCCTGTTTGTTTTCCCAGTTAGTGCCAGATGCCTTCAGACTTGGAATTTAAAATAAAATGAGTACACTTGCTTACTGTGGACAACTAGCTGTGGTGAACATGCTTCACACAATAAATTTACTAAAGTCCTGATAGAGTCAAGTTTTGATAGGCTCAGCATTCAGTACCCACTCACAGAAGCTCTGTACTAGGTGCAAAGGTGATACCAAGAAGCCTGACTGATGGACACCCTTAGTCCCGGCCTCAAATGCAGGCCCATCCAGTGTGTCCTTTGCTCTCTTATTTCTATACTGATTCATCTTCCCCATCATTGCTTCTCTTTGTGGAGGAAAGACTGATCCAAGAGAGGAATGACCGCTGCCTGACCAGTGAGCTGGACCTGGGCCAGAGGGGGGGGGACCTGTTTCCCCACAACCCTCCCCCCTCTTGGGCACTATCTGATCCTGACTGATGTTTGTTATGACATGAACCAGTGCCCTTCCCCTGCTTCGCACTACTGGTTCCTGGAATAGGCCATTGTCTTGAGCTGGACAAGCATGTAAAGCAATTTACCGTAATCGGTAGCATTCACATAGGAGTACAGGGACTATTGCCCCTTCATCCCATATAATTCTTTTTTAAAAAATGTTTTTTATTGATATTTTAATTTTTAAAATATATTTTTATTGCTTTCAGAGAAACGTCAATGATGAGAGAGAATCATTAATCAACTGCCTCCTGCACATGCCCCACTGGGTAATGAGCCCACAACCTGGGCATGTGCCCTGACCGAGAATCGAACCATGACCTCCTGGTTCATAGGCTGACACTCAGCCACTGAGCCCCCTCGGCCTGGCTCCCATATAATTCTTTGATGCCTGTCAAGTGGTGTGCGGATCCATTTCAAGTTACAGCCACTGAAGATGCACATCCCTCGTATGTTTCCCTCAATTAACTCCATTAATTATCAGACTAGAGTGGCCAACCTCTTTCTTCAGTCTTTCTCGGGCCTCTGCTTACGGAGACTTTCAGTTCTGGGACCTCCCCAGGGTCTGCGTGTACTCACAATATTCCCGTCCAAACCACCTCTTCATGCTTTTTGGAGCACCACTGTGTCTGCAAACACCCTGCTTCCTCTGACTTTCTGTTCTAGCTTTAATTGAAATAGAAGAAACTTGCTTTATGTGCAGCCCTCTTGAGAAAAGAGTACATTTCCCTCACCTCCGCTCTCACAGTCCAGGAGCCAATGCTAGTATTCTCTCCTCACTGCTGCTTCCAGCCTGCGATCATTTCACCTTCAGGTGTCACCACCTATCAACCCCCTGCGCAACCCCACCCCCAGGCCCAACCCCGATGGATAGTGAGGACTTTGGCTCTGGCTCACCACGATCTTGTCCCTTGACTGATTTTAGCATCTGTGGAGAAACCCTTTTTTATTCTTTATGACCTTATGAGGGCAATTCAACCTCTGAAATCTTAAACTTTCATATCCTCCTCTTGGACCATAATCCCTGCATCCTTTTAATTCTTACACTCATCTTTTGACTCTTCTTGGTTCACCAAATAATAAGAACCCCTCCAGTTTTAATTATCTTTCCTATTCAGCCTAGTCCATATGCAGGTCATTCTCTTGCCAACAATTTTAATCCTGCTCTCCACTGTCCCTCCATTAACCATCCTGGCTAAATTCCAGGGAACTCTCTCCTTTCTGCACCTGCAACCTGGCTGCTCAGTGCTGCTGGAGAACCAGGCTCCTGCCACTGCATCGCGGTTCCCCTCGACTCAGCGGTGCCCTCCTGAGTCTCAGCACTGTTACAGATCCTAAGTCAATCTTCTCAGTCACCTCAGCAGCTATTTCAAATTTCACCACTATTCCTAAGTTCAAGTCCTCACCTCTCTTCTTTCTTATCAGATGACCTCACTAGCAGCTAACGCTTCCTCAGAGCCCTGCCCCTAACCAACAAATGTGTCTGTCTTTATATCTGTACTTCCTTCTTTGCCCACTGTGTCAAAATTATTCTTGCTCCAGTCAAGGGGCAATTCAATGACCTATTTGCTAAAATTCACCTCCTTAAGGAGAAACCAAGATGGCAGCATAGGTAAACACCGGAAATTGCTGCCTCACACAGCCACTTCAAAAATACAACTAAAAGACAAAAAAACATCATCCAGAAACACAGGAAGGCTGGCCGAGTGGAAATTCTACAACTAGAAGGAAAGAGAAAAGCACACTGAGACTCAGAGGAGGTGCGGTGTGGAAGTAAAGTACAGAGGTACAGACGCGTACGCAGAAAGGGCTGGCAACTGAGGACGCGGCTGTCTTTTTCAATTGGGAGGGAGACACAAGCTCCCGACAGCTCTGAATGCCAGTTCTGGGCAAGTCTTTGGGAACCCAGACTCATACGGGGAGAAACTGGACTGTATGGCATCGGGCGGAACTCGAGGAAGGCTTTCTCTCAGAGGTGCTTGCAGCGATTACTGCAGAACAGTGAGAACCGGGACCTCTTAGGGCAGGGCTGAGGATCAGCCATAGCTGTTTGCTCCGCCCTGTTGATTCCCTGGGACCCCACCCACCCAAGCTGTGTGCAGAGGCTTTTGCATATGAAAGGCCTGGCCCTTTGTAATCTGAAAATTACTTAACAAACTGCAGCTGGATCAGAGAGACCCAGAACATCCAAAAGAAGGCCCAAGGCCCCACAACAGCTTGCATTACGTCACAGCTGAGCCTCATCTGGGCACCTCCAAACCCCAAACAAGGAAAAGGAATCTGCAGATCTCTCCATAGCTCCTGTTGGGTAGCCTCAGGCAGAGGCTAAATTAGCACCTCCTTAGAGATCCAAAAGCCAGTGTAGCCAGTGGTCAGAGTGGGACCATCCAGATTACAACTCCTCAGATCCATAAGGGACACACTCAGGGGGCAGACTCAGTGAGCACCAAAGCCCCACTGAAGCAAGTCTTGCCCCATAAGGGTGTCTCCAGCACAGAAGTTCTCCCACTGTAGACACAGCTGAATCTCACAACAATTGGCCTGGAGGTCATTCCTCCCAGGGATACCTACAACTGTCAAGGCTCAACTACAATAAGACTGTGCACACAGCCCACGAAGGGGTGCACCAAGAATGTCCACCTCAGGTGATTGGGGAGGATGAGCCACTGGGCCCTATAGGACACCTAGCACACAAAGCCACTCTATCAACACAGGGAAGCAGCCAAAATGCAAAGACAAAGAAACAGGTCACAAATGACAAAAATGGAGGAAAGCAAACTACTGGATATAGAGTTCAAAACCACGGTTATAAGGTTTTTCAAGAATTTTTTAGAAACTGCCGATAAATTTAGTGAGACCCTTGAGGATATGAAAAAGGACCAACTAGAAATTAAGCATACACTGACTGAAATAAAAAATAATATACAGAGATCCA